CCTCTCTCCTCTCAGTGGCCAGCCATCCCGCCCCCCTCCCCCAGCCTTTTGGGTCTGTTCATTCCCCTGGGTCTGTCAATTTAGGGGAGTCCTCCAGCCCAGACCCCTAAATTGACAAGCGGACCACTAGAAAGGGACTGGGGCCCAGCCAGTGTGGCTTAATGGTTGAGTATAAATCAAGAGGTTACTGGTTCGATTCTCAGTCAGGTTGAGGGCTCTATCCCCATTAGGGGGATGCAGGAGGCAGCCAATGGATGATTTTGTCTCGACAATGTTTCTCTGTCTCTCTCTGTCTCTCTCTCTCATATTCAAAGAAAGAAAGGGACTGGGGAGCGAGGGAGAGGGAAAAGCAGTGAAGAAGCAAAATGGAGGAAGCTGCGGTGAAGGGAAAGAGAAGGAAGAGCAGCCGCCCCCTGCAGGTTTATAGCGTGAACGGCAGGCGGCGCCAGAGACCGCCTGAGGCCAAGGCCAAGTGCACTGCGGCAGAGCGCCCGCCACTTCTCCCGCAGAACGCAGGGCTGGCCTCCGCCTCTCACTCCGGCCGCTCCGCCCCCTCCAGCAGCCACTGCAGTGCTGCCAGCCGCTCACGCCAGCTTCTGCCCCGCCCCCCCTCCCCCCCCCCCCTTCACGGGGTCCCTCACCCCGCTCCTCCCCAGCATCCTCCATCTTCTCGCCCATCTTCTCCATCTTCTCGCCCACTGTCATCTTTTGCTAGGTGATGATCAGTAGCCAGAGAGCGTGTGTGCTGTAAAGATCTTTATCCAAGCTTTATTTGTGAAAAGCGAAGCCTTGGAAATATCAGTTAGGGAACAATAAGTTAAAGAAAACCCGAGTAGATATTCTCTCTAATAATATAAAACCATTTAAAATTTTATCTATCATACAGAGGCAGTAAAGCATCAAACAGACTGTCAAATGACAGCGGGAAGGTTAGGAAGAGGTGGGGGAGATAAGAGATCAACTGAAGGACTTGTATGCATGCATATAAGCATAATTAACGGATGCAAGACATATGGGGTGAGGGCATTATGGGAGTGGGGTGGGGGGGCAATGGTAATATATGTACACATATAATACCTTAATAAAAATGAAAAAAAATATTATCTATCAAGACTATGCACCATCATGAAAATTTTTCATGTTATACTGAAGTGATAAATGCATCTACACATGGATCTCTATGTAAAAACGTCCGTGACACACAAACAAGGAATGACAACAAAGACTCCCCTTAAATATGAACAATGGTTTCTACAGGTGTGGCAATGCTTTTCCATACCACTCACGTTTATAGAATATGTATAAGCTCATGCTAAAATAAAATGCAGCCTTTTCTTTCTACAAATCAAAGAAGCAAGCTGCGTCAGGGGCTGGGGCTGGGCAGGAGAGGGAGCCTGGGTAGGGCGAGAGTTGGGCACATACAGGAGCGCTCCTCAGTGATGTCATGTCAACTGTCCCCATACCCTACACATCCCTGAAACCCAAAGTGCTCGGCTCCCCTCCCCCTGTGCTCAAGTACCCCTTATCCTTAACACACACACACACACACACACACACACACACACACACACACACACACCAAACCTCGAATCTTACTGCGTAGGCTTCTTGAAATCATCTCTCAATATTTCTCTGCTCAAAACAGTTCCCAGTCTCTCAACTGATTTAATGAATTGAAGAATCTCCACTTTGCTTCTTCACTGCTTTTCCCTCCCCCAACCTCTCCAGTCCCTTTCTTAAAAAAAAAAAAAAAAAAAAAAAAAAAAAAAAAAAAATCTACAGTTTCTTGGTAACTGCAGCTTTCCTCATAGGTTTATGTATCAAAGAAGGCAGCATTCCGTTCCCAAATCCTCCTCACCTTGCTGATGCTGTTCAGGGCAATCCATACCCTCAGCCTTGGGCCCTAAGCCTTAATGGGGAGGCTTCACTGAGACTGCAGTAAAAAGGCGAATACAACATACATTAAATGGTCACCAACATAAGTTAAAATATTGGCAAACCAACAAGCAAGGTTTCTTTTTGCAAACAAGATTTTAAAAGACACATTTTAGACCTAGCTGGCTTGGCTCAATGGATAGAGCATCGACCTGTGGGCGGAAGTGTCCCGTTTTGATTCCGGCCAAGGGCACATGCCCACGTTGTGGGCTCAATCCCCCAGTGTGGGGCGTGCAGGAGGCAGGCAATCAATGAGTCTTTCTCATCATTGATGTTTCTATCTCTTTCTCTCCCTCTCCCTTCCCCTCTGATATCAATAAAAAATATATTTAAAAATAAATATTAAATAAAAGACATATTTTAGCCGAAACCGGTTTGGCTCAGTGGATAGAGCGTCGGCCTGCGGACTGAAAGGTTCGATTCCGGCCAAGGGCATGTACCTTGGTTGCGGGCATATCCCCAGAAGGGGGAGTGCAAGCTCTCATCGATGATGTTTCTAACTCTCTATCCCTCTCTCTTCCTCTCTGTAAAAAAATCAATAAAATATATTTTTAAAAAATAAATAAAAGACATATTTTAAAATTTCAAAGTGTAAAATATACACTGAGTGGCCAGATTATGATGATCTTTGAACTCATAATAATCTGGCCACTCAGTGTATATCCTATATAATAAAAGGCTAATATGCAAATTGTCCCCTCAACAGGAGTTCGACCAGCAGGCAGGCTGGCCAACCACCCATGTCCCCTTCCGCTGGCCAGGCTGGCCTGACCCCACCCATGCACGAATTCATGCACCAGGCCTCTAATACACACACACACACACACACACACACACACACACGCACGCACACACACACACACTGAGTGGCCAGATTAGTATGCGTTCAGAGATCATAGTAATCTGGCCACTCAGTGTATTTTATAGTTATCTTCAGGCACTACCCAGGCTATGGTCCCTAAAGTAAATTCCACTTGAATATACTGGGCCCAGGCTGGCAGATGACCCAATGGTTTCCAGATAGGTGTGGGAGGACAAACTTGACATCTCCTGTCAAAGTAGGAAGGGGCATTCTGTCTTCATCCTTCTAACCCAATTGAGTAGGCGGAGAGCGGTCTTGTGCAGTGCATGGGACCTGATTTCCAGCTCTGGCTACAGCGGGGCTGGGACAGAACCACGCTGCTGAAAGAGCCGCCTTTTTTGGTCAAAGCACATGTGCCTGCTAAGCCTATGCTCTCTGGGAGAGGAAGCAGAAGTAGCTACAAGATAAACTGGGAGAGTGGAGGTGAGAAACAGGCCACTCCTATTCCATTCCCCTCACTCCCTTTCTCCTTAGTCAGATCCTCTCCTCCTGTGTTCCTGCACTCAACAAGTTCCTTCTCTTCCAATTTGTCATTGTGACTGGAATAAATGGAGGGATGAGTCAACACTTGGCAATGATGGAGGAGCTGGAAGGGAGGGGTGGACCTCTGGCTCTAGCACTTCCTGTTACAAATTCAATCTAGACAGGTAGCTGGGAGAAGGGGACCTAGTGACCAAGAGTCAACTTTGGTCATCTTTCCTCCTCTCCCCAACTCTCTTCTGCTGATAGTTCTGCCCCAGGTCTCAGGCCAACCTGACACTTAGCCCCACTGTTTCAGACCCTGCTAGGACCTCTGACTCCACCCCATCCACTGGACATCAAAGTCTGATGCCGAATGTTATTAGGATGTAAAACATATGTATCTTGAAATCAAGAATACATGGTACTTCTCTAAATGTCAAAGTAAAGATTAAAATGGCATTTTTGAGTCTCAATTAAAAGGAATTTAACATACTTCTCATCATTGTTATGCCCTTCCCCACCTCTGCTTCTTGTCATTTTAATATAATCTGGGGTTTATGGTTCATATAGTTATCAATATACTATTTCAAACACTAATATTTTGATAATAGCTTGACAATTGGCTTTATAACTGGATTTAGAATTTTATAAACTGTGATTATGTGTAACCTGCTCCAGGCCCTGCCAGGACCAGCACCATCCAACGGTAATATAATGCAAGCCCCCCTGGTTAGTGTGGCTCGGTTGGTTGGGCATCGTCCTGTGCACCTAACGGTTGCCTGTTCAATTCGCAGTCAGGGCACATGTTTGGGTTGCAGGCTTGATCCTTGTTGAGGGGCATGCAGGAGCCAGCCTATTGATGCTTTGCTCTCTCATCAATATTTCTCTCCCTCTCTCTTCCACTCTCTCTCCAAAAACCAATAAAAATATTTTTAAATTGAATTTATTGGGGTGACAATGGTTAATAAAATTATATAGGTTTCAGGTGTATTCTATATTACATTATCTGTATATTGTATTGTACGTTCACCACCCAAGTCAAGTCTTCCATCATCATTTATCTGCCATTTACCCTCTCCCACCTCCCCCACCCCCTTTCCCTCTGATAATCACTATATGGCTGGCAATCTAAAACAAATATGTTTTCATCATTTTAAAAATTTATACAGAATTTAAAACTCCTTTTGAAGAAATAAAAAACCAAGTATGATCCAATAAAATATTTTTAAAAAATTCAATGCAAGCCACATGTGTAATTTAATTGTAGCGGCTTTATAAAAAGTAAAAGAGAAGTTAAATTATTTTTTCTTTTTAAAAAAATATACTTTTATTGATTTCAGAGAGGAAGGGAGAGGGAGAGAGAGTTAGAAACATCAATGAGAGAAAATCATTGATTAGCTGCCTCCTGCATGTCCCTTACTGGGGATTCAGCCCACAACCCAGGCATGTGCCCTTGACTGGAATCGAACCCCGGGCCCTTTTAGTCCGTAGGCTGACACTATCCACTTAGCCAAACCAGCTCGAGCTATTTTTTTTAAATATATTTTTATTGTTGATAGTATTACAGATATCTCCCATTCCCTCTACTCTTAGGGGGAGCGGGCCTAAATCAGCAGTTGGACATCCTTAGCACTGCTGCAGAGGCAGGAGAGGCCCCCGCCACCACCACTGCACTCACCAGCCATGAACCGGCTTCTGGCTGAGTGGCGCTCCCCCTGTAGGAGCACACTGGCCACCAGGGGGCAGCTCCTGTGTTGAGCGTCTGCCCCCTGGTGGTCAGTGCTCATCATAGCAACCAGTCATTCCCCCATTTGGTCAATTTGCATAGTGTTTCCCCGAAAATAAGACATCCTCCGAAAATAAGACCTACTTACAGGTTTCCTTCTGAGTGAAATATAAGGCATCCCCCCGAAAATAAGGCCCCCCCTAGGCTAAACATGAGAGATTTGGTCCACTGATTCTGAAAGAAATGGAGTCACAAGAAATTCACCAGGAAATTCAGGAATTGGATTGTTATGATGATGTTCCAGAAGATGATGACATGATTGTCATTGAATAAATGAGTAAATTCTTGATACTGTAGGATTCACAGTTTGTCTGGTTTGCGTTGACAACTACCGTACTAGCGTACCATGTACAGGTAATAAATTTCCTTAATTATCATTTAACAATAAATGTGTACCATATTGTTCTTCATGGAAAAATAAGACATCCCCTGAAAATAAGACCTAGTGCATCTTTGGGAGCAAAAATTAATATAAGACACTGTCTTATTTTCGGGGAAACAGGGTATTAGCCTTTTATTATATAGTATTATGTCATATTAGAGAATAAACACTTTTAGTCACAAAGTAGTTGCAATTCTTCCTTATTTCATAAATACAATGTGTCGAAACAAAAAGTAGCAGATATTTCTGAACAATGTAGACTATTTGTTTTATTACTCATCTTAATAATGACGACCAAGCCGAAACAGGTTTGGCTCAGTGGATAGAGCATCGGCCTGCAGACTAAAAATTCCTAGGTTCAATTCCAGTCAAGGGCATGTACCTTGGTTGCGGGCACATCCTCAGTGGGGGGTGTGCAGGAGGCAGCTGATGGATGTTTCTCTCTCATCCATGTTTCTAACTCTCTGACCCTCTCCCTTTCTCTCTGTAAAAAATCAATAAAATATTTTTTTTTAAACTGCACATGAGCACTGTGGTGCAGACTGAGATCCAGGCCCAGGCCTTTATTTCTGGTCTGGAGAATGGGGGGGGGGGGGGTGGGGAGGAGAGAAGAATGCCTTTTTTTTTTTTTTTTTTTGAATCAGGGAGGGAGAAACAGGGTAAACTTAGCACCAGAAAAGTGCAATTACCTTCCTTAAAGCTTTCCTGTGCCCAAATCTGATTTCACTGTGCCCGATGGCCTCCTGCCTCAGCAGCCTGGACTCTCCATCATGGATGACTTGCAAGTGGGGCATCCTTGGCCCTCCCGAAAAGAGGAAAGTTGTGGCAGATGGACAGCCCATGTACGGAGTTCTCAGGTGCCTTCAGCTGAGTGAGAAACCAGCCTTCATCAGATGTCTACAGGCAACCCTCTGTGACACTAAGGCAAGTAATGATTGGAAGAACGACTGTCAATGGACTTTGGCATTGACATTTTGGATTCCGTCTCAAATTTTAATCAGAAAAACAAAATCCCGGAGGGATAAATTCTTCAGGCTCCAAAGGAGGCTCAGTGCCTAGGGATTCACACAAAGGAAAACAACCCGAGAAGAGCAACTAATTAAGAACTTGAAAAAGTGACAGTAACGCCTGTGAATCTTGCTGCTTGAATGGGGCTTTAAAAATAGCTCCAAGCAGCTGTGCGTCACTGCAGGTTGCCCAGGACCAAACCAGAGAGAGTCGGACATGCATTACCACCATTTGTCCACCATCCAGATCTGAAATACCATGGCTGACATGTACACACAAGGAACTGTTTGACATAGAAATTGTGACTCAAAAGAACTGTTGGCCCAGAAAGAAACTCACTACAGACTGATTCATTTGCCTCTCAGCATAACCATTATGGCTTGTCTCAGTTTCGGTTCTTACAAGGGTATTTCTTGGATCACAAGATCTCACACATCTAGAGGAAATAATGAACAACATAAACTGATGAACAAAAACAGACCCAGAGAAAGAGAAGCAGCAATCAGACTCTCAAACCTCAGAGGGAAGGTAGGGGAGGGTGGGGGTAAGGGGGCGAGATCAACCAAAGGACTTGTGTGCATGCATATGGGCCTAGCCAGTGGCCATGGACAACAGGGGAGTGGGGGCATATGTGGGGAGGGGTTTGGGATAGGAATAGTGGGATGAGGACAAATATGTGATACCTTAATCAATAAAGAAATTTTTTAAATAATAAATAAATAAATAAATAATAGCTTCAACCTTAATCAATAAGAAATTTTTTTAAAAAATAGCTTCAGCCCTGATCTGTGTGGCTCAGTGGATAGAGCGTTGGCCTGCGGACTGAAGGGTCCCAGGTTCGATTCTGATCAAGGCCGTGTACCTTGGTTGCAAGCATATCCCCAGTAGGAGGTGAGCAGAAGGCAGCTGATGGATGTTTCTCTCTCATCGATGTTTCTAACTCTCTCTCCCTCTCCCTTCTTCTCTGTAAAAAATCAATCAATAAAATATATTTTTAAAATAGCTTCAGTTAATAAGCCTGTGTATATGCTCTTGGGAAACAATTGCACCGAATTAACAAACCAACTGTAGTATTTAGAATGTCTGCTTAAAAATACAAACAAACAAAAAAAAAAAGAAAGGCATGCCTAATGCTCAGAGAATGTGGAAATCCTCCACTATTTTTTTTCCTCTCTAGTCTCCTGAAGCAATCTCAGGGTGGCATGCAGTGGCCAAAGGGGATATCATAAAAGCCAAAACCCTGAGGAAGGGGAACTTTCCTCTCCAGTAGGTGGAGCTGTGCTCCCAGTAGGTGGAACCTACGTTTCTCCCCATAAAACTGTTTATGAACTTCAGAGGTCAATAAAGTTTTCCTGTAAATGGCCAGGCAGTAAATATTTTAGACTTTGTGCACCATACAGTCTGTCACAACTACTCAACTCTGCTGTTATAGCAGGAAAGCAACCCATACAAGAACAACTGAGTTGGCTGATTCCAATAAAACTTTATTCACAAACACAGGCAGGAGGTCGGTTTTGGCTCCTCGGCTGTAGTTCCCTGGCCTCTGTCATAAAGAAACCTGTATGTGAATGTTCATAGCAGCTCTATTCATAATTGCTTCAAACTGGAAACAACTCAAATGTTCTGCAAAGAGTGAATATACAAAGAAATTGTGATACATGCATACAACAGAATATACAAACAATGCTGAGTATTGCTACTCGGCAACAAAGAAGAATAAACCATTGATACATGCATCAATATAGATGAATCTCAAAGTATTACGCTGAGTGAAAGTAGCCAAGCTCAGAGCAAATTTTCCTGATGATTCAATTTATATGATGTTCTGGTAAAAAGAAAAACTAACAACTATAGGGACAGAGAAGAGATCAGGAAGTATCAATAACATAGCAGTTAAAAACGATGAGGTAGGACATTCTTGCTGCTACTATAATAAATTACCACAAAATTTGTGTCTCAAGATGTTGTGGAGTGAACGCAGGTGAACAATCACTGGAGTCCAGACCAAATTATTAGCCGGCCGGGCCACTGCTCTACCATTCTCCATGCAGGGAGTCCAGAGAGCAGCCCCTACCCTTTGTGCAGGACCACTTTTAAGCACATTTACTACATCCTGTTATTGCAGAACAAGCAACCCAAGACAAAACAGTTTTCCCAAGCAACATCAGAGCCATGCCATTGATGACCATGTTATTCACAGGGTCATCCTGTTCTTCAGAAAGCTGACAGTGATCTATGAAAGAAGGTCTACGTGCTGGGAAGGGACCATGAGACCATATCTCAAGGTCTGGCCTGCTGTCAGCACTGACAACTCTATCTGGGGCATAGTCTGTGGCCTCTCTGGAATGGGCAAAAATTCCCACTCTCTAACAAAGATAGTACAAAGTTTAATCTATTCACCTTTTTCACCCAACTCTGAAACCTCCTCTCTGACCTTTGTAAGTCTGCTTCATGTATCCATGCCTCATCCTCACAGGCCCTTGTGAGCAGCAGGACTTGGGCTTCAATCCTGGCTCTGCTACTCAACCAACGCATGAGCTCCTCGCTGTGCTTATCTCTCTGGGTCAGTTTCCCCATGTATAAGACAACATACGACACCTACCTCTTAGACTTCCCTGAGTCTGAAATGAGACCATATATATGGACCACTTCCCATAGCACCTGGCATTCCTGGACGTGCCATTCAGCATGTGTTTGCCACTGAGGATGTTTAATTGAGACATCTGATCTGAGGCTCTCTTCCCAGTCCCAATGGCATCAGGTCGTTTACAATTTACATTTAGGTTTTAACATGTTTACCAGTATTAAGTTGTCATCTACTAAGATGGATTGGTTGATAGAGGAATGGAGAGATGGAGAGATATATCAAATATAGCAATATGTTATAGAGCTAAAGCAAACTATTGATAAAGTAAATATAACAAAATCTTATTTTATAATCTAGATAGGTGTATGGGTATTTACCACACAATTTTTTGAAGTTTTCTGGATGTTTGAATATTTTCATAAGAAAATGTGAAAAAAAATGCTAATAATTCATGAAATATATAGAACTAAAAGAGCAAATTTAGAGCTGGATAGCAGTTCTTAGGAGCTTATTGTATCATTCTTTTATTTTGTGTATGTTTGAAATATTTCAAATTACAAGGATTTTAAAATTTTTTACTTGGATGCAAATTAGGGACACTGTGCTAGGTGAAATAAGGCAGTCACAAAAAAGACAAATATTGTATGGTTCCAGTTTTATGAATTACCTAGAGCTGTCAAATTCATAGAGACAGAAAGTAGAATGATGGTTTCCAGGTACTGAGGGAGGAGGAAAAATGGGGAGTTTAGTGCTTAACGGAAACAAAGTTTCAGATTTGCAAGATGAAACAGTTGTGGAAATTGATTGTACTGAACTGTACACTCAAAAATGGCTAAGATGGTGTCCTGGCCAGTGTGATCCAGTTGGTTGAGTTTCCTCCCATACACTGAAAGGTCACTAATTTGATTCCTGGTCAGGGCACATGCCCAGATTCAATCCCCTAGAATTGATGTGTGTGTGTGTTTTTTTCTCTCTCAAAACAAATAAACAAACACAACACAACAACAAAACCATTTTATAACGGTTAAGATGATAACTTTTATATTATGTGTATTTCATGACAATGCTTAAATTTTTTTTGAAATTCACTGGTCAAATATATCATGGAGGCACTTGATATAGGCCATAGTACTAGTTACAGCATACAAAGTTCAGTAAAAATCGACTCTAGATTTTAATCATAATGAAATACTGGAAATACCATGAAATTTTGAGTAAAATCAATGAGTTTCAATTTCAGTTCTTTCTTTTTCTTAGGTGTGCGAATAAAAAAGAAGTTATTTCCATTTCACTTACTTTATTTTAAAGATAAGTATAGCCCTGGCCGGTTTGGCTCAGTGGATAGAGCATCAGCCTGTGGACTCAAGGGTCCCGGGTTCGATTCCTGGTCAAGGGCATGTACCTCGGTTGCGGGCACATTCCCAGTGGGGGTGTGCAGGAGGCAGCTGATTGATGTTTCTCTCTAATCGATGTTTCTAACTCTTTATCCCTCTTCCTTCCTCTCTGTAAAAAAAAAAAAAAATCAATAAAATATATATATTAAAAAAAGATAAGTATGAAAATTCCTATAGGTCAATGTGAAGAATGAAGATTTATTTATTTACTTACTCTTTTTTTTCTCTTCTTTTATCAAAACTTATATATATACTAATATAAGCCTAGGTGGCTCTCACACCCTCATGTGACACCGTCACGTGATCAACAGATAGCTGTTACAAGATGGCTGGCAGGGGAGGGCAGTTGTGGGTGATCAGGCTGGCAGGGGAGGGCAGTTAGAGAAAACCAGGCCTGCAAGGGAGAGCAGTTGGGGGGGACCAGGCTGGCAGGAGAGGGCAGTTAGGGGTGACCAGGCTTGCAGGAAAGGGCACTTAGGGTAAGGTGACCAGATCATCCTGCTTTTGGCAGGACAGTCCTGATTTGTAACAATTTTTCCTGCATCCCGTGGCGTTTTAAAAAAAAGTCCCGATTTTTTGAAAGATTGAAAAGATTCTTTCCAAAAATTGGGACTTTTGTAAGACGCCATGGGATGCGGGACAAATGGTTAGCAATCGGGACTGTCCCGTCAAAAGCAGGACGATCTGGTCACCTTAACTTAGGGGCAACCAGGCCTGCAGGGAAGGCCAAATGGGGGGACTAGGCCTGCAGGGGAGGGCAGTTGGGGGCCATCAGGCTGGTAGGGGAGGGCAGTTGGGGATGGGACCAGGCCAGCGGGGGGGGGGCAGTTGAGGGCGACCAGGCCAGTAAGGGCGGGCATTTGGGGGCTATCAGGCTGGCAGGGCAGGGCAGTTGGGGGAAATCGGGCCAGCAAGGGAGCAGTTAGGCATCATTCAGGCCGCAAGGGAGCGGTTAGGAGGTGATCAGGCTGGCAGGCAGGCAGGAGAGCAGTTAGGAGCCAGCAGTTCCGGATTGTGAGAGGGATATCAGACTGCTGGTTTAGGCCCCTGAGGAGTCCTGGTTTGGAGAGGTTGCAGGCCAAGCTGAGGGACACCCCCCACCCATGCACAAATTTTGTGCACCAGGCAGCTGGATGCAGAGGCCAGAGCTGGTTCCAGTTTTTTGTTTGTTTTTTAATCCTCACCCGAGGATATTTTTTCATTGATTTCCAGAGAGGGAAAGACAGAGAGAAACATCGATGTGAGAGAAACACATCAATTAGTTGCCTCCTACACACACCCTGACCAGGGCCCGGGCTGGGGAAGAGCCTGCAACCAAGGCACATGCCCTTGACCAGAATGAAACCTGGACCCTTTGGTCCACAGGCAGACACTCTATCCGATGAGCCAAACTGGCTAGGACTGGTTCAATGTTTATCTCTTTACAGGTAGTGGCATGTCTTCTCATTAGGGGGCACATAATGTCTTGTGTCATTCTTTTTATGGTGTTAGCAGCTGAGATGTTCAATGCCTAGATCCATTTATTGGTGGTTGCAAAGTGGTTATATTCAAGTTCTAACAATTCTTTTTTGTTTGTTAATTGCAATACTTTTATAGAGATGCTTTCACTCACCTATCATTTGGTTACCAATGTTATAGTTCATATAGGAAGGGCAGGATAAAGATTTAGTCTTTTCCTTTTATATATCAGTTTTCAAGAAAATTACTTGGTTTTCTATCATCCTCCAAAAGTCAGTTATCTTCTTGGAGCTTAGATTGTCTCATCTGTGGCCAGTGGGAAACTGCTGAAGCCAGGTCTTCCAGCCATGACCCTACTAGGCCTTGACAGCTTTCTTACCATCTGTTATGATGACAGGATTCAAGGGTTATCTTTACATTTTCAGTCCCAGACCTGGAATCAGCCATTTCTGAATTAAATTAAATTAAATTAAATTAAATTAAATTAAATTGCTGGTTTGTTTTTCCCAACCTGGTTGCCAGGGTTGCTCATTCTTTCTAAACTTTTCAGAAACACACGCGTGAGCGTGCGCGCGCGCACACACACACACACACACACACACACACGCACACACACACACACACACACACACATTCTTTTTTTAATTTTTTATATATATTTTTAATTGTCTAAAGTTTTGTATATGTCTCCTTTTCCCCCAATTGACCCCATCCCTTCCCAGCCCGGGCAAGCCCCACCCTCCCATTTGTGTCCATTGGTTATGCTAGTATGCATGCATATAAGTCCTTTGGTTGCTCTCTAACCCCTCCTCCCCTGTCATTTGTCACTAGATCAATATCTATTCTTGTTCATCAAATTATGTTGATCATCATATGCCACATATGAGTGAGATCATGTGACATTTATCTTTCTCCGACTGGCTTATTTCACGTAGCATAATGCTCTCCAGTTCCATCCGTGCTGTTGCAAATGGTAAGAATCCCTTCTTTTTTATAGAGGCAATAGTACACATTCTTTTTATTAAAAAAAAAAATAAACTACCTTATGAGATTGTACTACTTGCACTTCAAATTCAGGAATATAGGTTATTTTTTAGTCAACTTATTCTAGATTATATCTGCATTTCCTTTCTTCCACATCAAAAATACAGGTTCTGAAAGCTAACAGGGGAAAATAAATTAGAATATCTCATAATTATTCATTTAGTTTATACCACTGTGTTAGGGGTGCCCAAGACTACCTCACATCCGGTGACTCACTAGGAGTGATTGAGCATATATTTGTGTGAGAGAAGGTAGCTGGGGAGATGTGAGCAGAGGAGATAACGGACAAGCAGACCAAAAAAACCCCGTGCTTAGGTAAACAAGGGAAAGGGAGAATAGAAAACTAGAACAGCCATCAACATTAGACAAAGACAGGGGAAAGAAATGCAGTAGAAAGGACTCCTAGCACCAAACGGGCACCTGCAGATGCACGAAATTCTAAGAAGCCCACCAGTTAAGCAGACCCTCAAAATTCTAGGGGGTCTGCCAGCTAAAGGACGAATGGTGCAGGGACATTAGCACAAAGCGGGGGAGGGGCAAGAATAAAACAAAGGCCAGGATTTAGACCCCCGGATGTGCTTGAATAAAGCGCTGATGCTCTCTGCAATTTCTCCATCTCTAGCGCTGAAATCTTTTCTCCGGGAGACAAGATCCCCAGCACCGCTGACAGTTGTGACTGAACGCCAGCCCGGAGGGAGCCGATTCGAGAAAGCCCCTGAAAGAACGGTAAGCATCTAGCCTCGCCCTCCCTTGGGCTAGAGGCTTTGCGTTCCCTCTCGCCTCCTCTCCCACCCCCTCTCTCTCTAAGCCTCACTCTCCTGAGCACCGGTCACCCAGTTAAATGCCGCAAGGGCGGGTGCCACTTGAAGGCTCCTGTGGAAGGTAAGACTGCTCAGCCCGGGACAGAACCCCCCCCCCCCCCCCCGCACCTGCACCTGCACCTGCTAGACAAAGGCTGATAACATCTCCACATTGACCCAAGCCCCAGGCAGTTAATTTGGAGAAAGACATTCTTACTTTCGCTTTGGTGGTTGTGGTTAATCCTCACCCCGGGATATTTTTTCATTGATTTTTAGAAAGAGTGGAAGAGAGGACCCTTCAAGCCCGCAGGCCTATGCTCCATCCCAGGAGCCAAACCCGCTGAGGCTTCCGTTTGCTTTGGCACTTGAACCGGCTCCTCATCATCGGTGAGGCCCAGCCTCTGAGCTTGAGCAGACATTTCTTCAGGGAAGTAGATATCACCTGGGATTAAAATTGGACTCATCCGGGAAGAGCATGTAAGCATTGGCCAGCTGGCATTTGGGGTCCCTTCCCGCTGTCTTAGACCCATAGAAGGAGCAGGGACAGCCAGTAGTCCTCGGGGGCCACTGCCCCTGAAAGCCTTGCTATAAGCAGCACCCTACGAGAGAACTGAGCAATGATACCCGTGGCCGGATACATACCACCACCCCCCACTGACCCTCAGCATATTCTTTCAGAAACGTCCACGTTTTACCTCCTGAGTATTATCTACCCGTCTGGTATTCTTTCTTTCGCCTCCCTCTCCTCACAGCTGTGTTTGAAGTGCAGGCGGGGTGCCTGCTGTATATGCGGCAGGGCGGGTCGCAACTATTCCTTAAGGCGGCTAGTCGCCCAGACCAAGGACCGAGTGCCTCATTTTCCTTGCTTATTACACCACATAAGGAGAGAACACTGGCCTAGTTCTGTGATGAACGCTTTTCTTATTTATTTTTTGTTTCACCGCTGCCTGAAGAGTCTCCAGAGCTCCATTTATTATCAGCCCCTGCAGGATTTTTCTCGCTTGCTTAGGTTCAGCTACTATTATCCTGTCAGGCCTCACATCTCCCACGTTCAAGCTCATGTTCACTGGGAGCAGGGCTCCCTTTTCAGTCAACTTGTAGGTCTGCTGTGCTCCTCTTGGGACACAAGAATACTCGTTATTAAATATATAGACATTTCAGACCTTAATTGCCGCCAGCACTTTTGCTGTCTCTGCCGGAGCAGCTACTGGACAGATGAACGCATCCCACGGGGCTTCTTTATCAAGAATGGACTCCCCTGTTTACTGAAACATTTGGTTTGTCCACTATTATGCCCTATTGAAGCGGAGATAGCCTCGTCAGGAAAACGCCTAACCTCAAAAGATTTATTAGAGTGGATCTCATATTACATATATATTTTTAACAGGCTAATCATTAGACGCTACAAGGTGCTCATGCTTCAAGACATAGCAGGACTTCAATTCCTAAGAACACTATCCAACTTACCAGAGTATAGGTTGAGACCAAGGCACTCAGGGACGGGGAAGGGATCAAAAAGATAGATGAAAACATATGGCTCAAAAAATCCAGAACCTGGAAATGTTGAGTCACTCGGGAAGCTTTGGCCAAGGTTTTAAGAGAATTTCTAAAGAGGTCTAGAAATACTCTACAGATAGAACTTGGCAAAGGGGATGCCCCGGCCTGTCCATACTTTCTATTCATTTGCACAAGGTCACAGGACACGCTGGCCCATTCACACTCTCCTCTCCAGCCTCATTGCCCAGACCTCTCTTTTCTACTTTCCAGATGGTCAGCACCACCTCCATATCACAGGACTCACCACTGGGATGTATTATCGAGAATTAGGATAAATATGACCCCCAAACCCTCAGAAAGGAAAGATTAATCTTCTTCTGTAATACAGCCTGGCCACAATATAAATTAGATGACCAAGAGGTCTGGCCCCATGTGGAAGCATAAATTATAATATTATTATTCAATGAGACCTGTTTTGTCACCAGCAAAGGAAATGGACCGAGGCTCCATACATACAAGCCTTTATGGCCCTCACAGACAATCCTAAGCACTGCAGCTCTTGTGAATTAGACCCAGATGTTATAGCAGTTATTAGCCAGATGTCACAGCCTAAAACTGTAGGCACCCTAGACCTCAAAACTCCAACTGTTACTGGGGACCTTGGCTACAGTCCCTGAATACCCTACTAATGATCCTGTACCCTTCACAGAGGACCCACAACCCCTAAGCTATAGCCATTACAAGAGGTTACCGAACCCTCTGTCTAGCATCGATCCAGGTCCCATTCTCCATTCAGGATTACGGACAGGTAAAATCAGACCTTGGGACAATTTCAGATGATTCCAAAAAATACATGACAACTTCCTTAAACTAACCTGAACCTTTGACTTGGTGTGGAAAGCTATGCAGGAATCCTGGGGCAAAGTGTTGTACCAGAGCAGCGAGCTGAAGTAACTGAAGCAGCTCAAATATTTGGGGCTGACACCCACCTAACTCAGCTTCAAATATACCCTGCAGGAGCTGTTGCAGTCCCAAAGCCAGACCCCCATTGGAGCTATATCAACCAATGAGACAGGGCTCTTAGAGATCACTTGTTTCCATTGCTTAATAGAAGGAATGAAAGAAAATTGAAAGCACAACTAAAATGATAATAAACTTTCAGCCATTGACCAAGGGCCACAAGAAAACCCTTCTGCCTTTTTAGAAAGATTAAAAGAGACCCTTAATAAACATACCAACTCACCTGAGGGACAATTAATTGTAAACGATCACTTCCTAACTCAGGTGGCCCCAAACATCCAGTACAAATGACAAAAACTAGCCTTAGGTCCAGGGACACTGATGGCTGAGATCCCAAAGGCAGCACTCTCAGTTCACTATGATAAAGAAATGGAGGAGGAAGAAAAGAACAAAGAAACAAAAGCCACAAAGACAGAAGGCAGGCTCAGCTCCTCTCTGCCCTCAGGCCCAGCCTTCTCAGAAAGGGGGAAACCCTAAGCACCTGTTGGAAACTGCCATGGCTGTGGGAAACCTGGCCATTGGGACTGATGCCAAAAGCACCTTGTCCCAAGTGTAAGAAGTCTGGTCATTGGGTCTGTGACTGTCCTGGGTCCCGAAGGGGACATGGGCCGGAACCACTCATGAGCCTTGACGGAGGAGGCTCTCTACCCGAGCCAGTTCCCAACAAGAACATCCATTTGAATGGGAAGGAGCCAAGGGTCAGCCCAGATGTGGGAAGTAGAAACAGGAGCTGCCTACTCTATGCTAAATAATTTCTCTGGACTTCTACCTCCTGCCAAGTAATTGGGGTTAGTGGAAAACCCTCTATCAGGAGATTTATTCCTCCCCTGTGTTACCTTTGGGACCTTTTCCCATCCATCCTTGGTAATGTCAGAATGCCTATCCTGCTTTTGGGAAGAACACCCTCAGTAAACTAGGGGCACAAAAAATCAACACCAAGCCAACATCTTTTTCTCTGAACGGGTCCTTGAAACTGAGGAAATTATAGATTATTCCATAAATTTGGCAGTTTAACCTGGAAGTCTGAGCTGACGGAAAGGCTAAGACAGCAATACATAGAAAAATAAAAATTAAAAAACCCACAAACTTTTTCCATAGGAAGCAATATCCTATAAAGCCAGAGGCCAGAAAAAGACTTCAAATAATAATTAATAAATTCCTAAAACATGGGCTATTAATTTCTATTAATTTGCCCTGCAATAAATACTCTTATCCTCCCTGTTAAAACTAAAATAAAACGGAAAATATAGATTAGTGCACAATCTACAAATTATAAATGAGGCTGTTGTCACAATCCATCCTATAGTTTTCAACCTTTACACCATCCTAGGAGAAATACCTTCTCAAATCCAATAGTTTTCAATCTCAAGGATGCTTTCTTTTGCATTCCTTTGAGCCCCTGCTCTCAATGCTTATTTGCCTTAGAATGGACCAAGGAGGACAATATAAGCCAACTACTAACCTGGACTGTATTTCCCCAGGGCTTTAGGAATAGCCCTCATTTATTTGGACCGGCACTAGCCAAAGATCACAGGAACCTACTAGTAATGCTTGAAGTGGGGAGGAAAGCTCCTACAGTATATACCGTATTTTTCAGACCATAAGACGCACTTTTTCCCCCCCAGAAGTGGGGGGAAAAAGTCCCTGCGTCTTATGGTCCAAATATAGCCTACACATATACTTTAAAAAAAAAGTTTTTTTACTTGCCCGGCTCTGTGTGGTCTCTGTGTGCTTGCCCGGCTCTAAAATGGTTCTAAATGCTGCTGTTTACTTTACAGGGTTGATTACATGTGTTTATGACTGTGATGTTGGGTTTTAATGCACATAAAATATTTTAGGACACTATTTGTTTCAGAATCTTTTTTTCTTCATTTCCCTTCTCTAAAAACTGGTGCGTCTTATGGTCCGGAGTGTCTTATGGTCCGAAAAATACGGTAGGTGATTTACTCATTTTACTATCCCTCCAAGGAAAAAGGAATACAGCACACTATTAAGACTTTAAATTTTCTGGCAGACGGGGGATACAAAGTATCTAAGACCAAAGCTTAATTACTTAAATAAAAGGTGAATTATGTAGTATTCATTTTGACACTGGGAAAACGTAGTCTTTCCTGGAAGAAAATCCAAACAGTTGCCCAAATACCTACTCCAACCACCTGGAAACAACTTCTAAGATTAGCCAGATACTGTAGACTCTGGATTTTAGGATATGGAGAAATTTCAAAGTCCCTATACTTAGCCCGAAGGAGAGAGACAGACACAGACTCCCTGCTCTGGGACCAAGAGCAAAGACAGAACGTTAGGCATCTAAAACAGGCCCTAACCCAGGCCCCAGCCCTCCGATTCCCAATACTAGATAAGCCATTCCAATTGTATGGAACCGAGGAAAAAAGAATGGCCTTGGGAGTCCTGTCATAGGTCCTTGGCCCAACCAAAAGACTGGTAAGCTATCTACCCAAAGGTTTAGATTCAGTCGCATTGTTTTAGGATTGTTGTAGCTGCTGCATTACTGGTGGAAGCCTCTGCAATGTCTTTAGGCCAACAATTTGTCCTTTACACCTCTTATCAAATAGGCCCCTTGTTAGACCTAAAAGAACCTCATTGGCTCACAGATAGTTGAACACTCAGATACAAGGTATTGTTCCTGGAAAATCCCCAGGTTAAAATAGAAAAAAATGTAACACCCTAAATCCTGCCACCTTAATGCCATTCCCTGAAAAGGACCAACCTATACATTCTTGTTGTGAAACCTTTTGAACAAATTTATGCAAGTAGACAGGACCTACTGAACAGCCTTATGTAATCCAGAGGAAAATTGATTCACAGACGGACGCAGCTTTGTACTAAATGGAACCCATCATGCGGTATGCTATAGTTTGTTTACATCAAATTATAGAGGCCAAATCTCTTCCTTCAGGAACTTCTGAACACTAGTTGAATTAATAGCACTCATCAGGGCCCTAGAATTAGGGCAAGACAAAAAAAATTGAATATATATATATACAGACTTTAAGAATGCTTTTCTAATACTTCTTGATCATACTATCTGGAAGGAAAGGGGATATATTAACAGCAAAGGATACCCCTATTAAACACAGGCCTAAAATTTTTAAATTATTACAGGCATTTCATTTACCTAAAGAAATAGCAGTTATACTCTGCAAGGGACATCAAAATAAAATAACACAAGGAAACAAATACGCTGATAAAGTTGCAAAGGTAGTCGCCACCTCTGCAGATATATTCTTGGGAGCACTAATCCCATCCTTACCTACAGAACTACCAAACCCTAAATATACTCAAGAAGAAATGCAATGGACATCCCAACACAATGCACCAAGGTGTCAACAGGATGGTTCCAGTTAGAGGGACGCCTTTATGTACCCTCAATTTTAACAATGGAAAATCATAAAAAGCCCTCCATGAACTATAATAGTCTCTCAACTCATTAGCCAATAAAATCTTAGACAATTGTATTGCCCTAGAGACAATCTCTTAGCTTCAGAATGAGGAATTTTCGCTATTCAAAACACTGCATGCTGTACCAACATCAATAATTCCATTAAAGTAGAAATAAGAGTACATGAAATTCCAAATCATGCAACCTGGTTAAAAGGCCTCAGAGAAACTCAACTTTTGCCCAGTACGGTGACCTCACTTACTTGAAACTGGAAATATTGGTTATGGTCTCTCTTTGGAGTTCTTTTAATCTCTCTCCTCATCATATTAGTGATAATATAATATAACACTGTTTGGTCCTTGTTTGTTTAACCTACTTGTAAAATTTGTCTCTTCCAGGTTACAACTATTGCACCTGTAAATGACACTTCGCCAGGGTTTTCAACCCGTGCCCCCCCCCCCCCCCCCACACACACATACGCAGAAACAACTCAACCCCTTGATCAAGCTGGCCAAAAATTCTGATTCTGAGAAACCTCCCCTCCGCCCTGACAGACAGCAAGAGAATGAGACCCAATCCCCAACTTCGGCCCGTTTGTCAGCAGGAAGTAGCCAGATGATTGTCTACGTCCATGATCTCCCAATGAATTGGGTCTCATAACTCTTTAGGGGGGAAATGTTAGAGTAGGTAGTTAGGTAGATATGAGCAGGGCAGAGAAAGGACAAACTGACCACAAAACCATGCTTAAGTAAAGAAGGGGAAGGGTGAATAGAAAACTAAAACAGCCACCAAAGGCTGAATGGTTCAGGGAGCGTAGTACAAAGCATGGGAGGGGCAAGAATAAGTCAAAAACCAGGACTTAGACCCAATGGGGCACTCCAGCTTCGCTTGATGTACTTTCTCTTGAATAAAGCTTTGCTGCTTGCTGCAATTTCCCTGTCTCTCGTGTTGAAATCTTTCCTCCAGGAGACAAGAACCTGGTCTTGCTGATTCTCAGCACCGCCGACATTTGTATTCACAGCTGAGGTTTATTAGAACAGACAGGCAACAGAATCAGCCATGGAAAAAGACACAGGCAGAGTTTGAAGGGATGCCATGCTCAGGCTTCCTTATGTTGTCTCCCTTCCACAATGAGTCAGGCACAACTGGCTGTTTTCTAGCAACAAACATGCAGCAACACAAGTGTGATGTTTCCGCCCAAGGAAGCCATTAGACACTCAGTGCCCAAGGTTTTTGTTGGGGGCTGGCCATTAGACACTCTGCCTAGCATGTACCAAAATTGCAGACTTAGAATGAAAGCAGATGATAAGCATAAACCACACTGTTTGCACAAAGTCTGAGCACAATGAGCCATCCTTACCAGTTAAGGAATAGTGAAAACACTTCCCAAATGCAAGTTTCCAGCCAAGGGCCAACCCTTCAAAGGATAGCAGGCTTTGTTAACCCATTTCTGGATAGTTGACCCCTTGGACTTTGGCCAAGGCAACTTTTACAACAGAATGATCAGTTTGATCCCTCGTATCAGGTGAGACCTACCTGCAGTATTAACCTCAGTTATATCCTACAGGGGTCCTAAATTTCACCAGTTTAAACAAATCCCATTAACCACAAAGATTTGTCTGAGAAAGCCAGGTAACTTCCTCCTTAAATTCCTCTATTAGCCCCTTTTTACCTGGCTCATGGCATCCATTCAGGCACAGTATACTCTGGTTAGTAAGTGGAAGCTGACTGGAAAGCCATTAGGCTGAGGAAGTGTTGGGATAGTCAAGGCGCACACACAGGAAGTGAAGTCCCTGAGGGCACCCATGGCACCCCTGGAAACAGAGGAAGGCTAATATTTGTTAGGGTACCCAGAGCAAGGCAGACTTTAGGCAGGCAGTATGGGTTGGCAGGGCCACCAGTGTCGCCTCTCACTATGAAGCCTCCCGCCCAGTCCAACCAAATAATTGTTTAGTCCTTAGTTTCAGAGGGACTTCTTGAAAGCATCCAATTTCCTTCAGTTTTGGTCATCATTCCTAGCATGTGTGTGGACACCTGGAGGTGCTCTGCATGGAAAGTGCGGGGGATGGTGCCACCCCTGCTGCCTGTCAGGTGTGACCTACAGTCAGTTTGAATTCAAGGTACTCACAGCAGCTTGGAAATGAAATACCATGAGGCATTCTTTTTTTTTTTTTTTCCAGAAAAAGGGGAAAGCTTCCAAGAGCACTTCAGAAAAACAGACCATTAATGCCTTCTCTACTCCCTGGCATCTCCCCAGGCTGCTCTATTATTATTATTATTATTATTATTATTATTATTATTATTAATTGTTATTACTAGAGGCCCAGTGCACGAATTTGTGCACCAGTGGGGTCCCTCAGCCTGGCCTGCTGGATTGGGCCAAAATAGCTCTCCAAGTCCCCTGAGGGGTCCCAGATTACGAGAGGGCATAGGCCAGGCTGAGAGACCCCATTAATGCACAACTGCGGCTGGGGAGAGACATGGGACGTTGGTCAGCTGGGAAGGGATTTCGGGAGGGCTCCAGGGCATATCTGGCCCATCTCACTCAGTCCTGATCAGCTGGACCCCAGCAGCAAGCTAACTTACTGGTCAGAGCATCTGCCCCCTGTTAGTCAGTACACACATAGCAAGCAGTTGAGTGGCCTTAGCATATCATTAGCAGATTATGCTTTTATTGGTTGAACGGCTGACCGGTCGACCAGACACTTAGCATATTAGGCTTTTATTATGTAGGACTAGAGGCTGGGTGCACAAAATTGATGCATGGGCGGGGGGGGGGGCGCTTTGTCCCTCAGCCCAACCTGCACCCTCTCCAATCTGGGACCCCTTGAGGGATGTCCAATCACCCATTTAGGCCCAATCGGTGGGATCAGGCCTAAACAGGACTGCTCATAATCCAGGACTGCTGGCTCCCAACCACTCACCAGCCTCTGCCTGATTACCCTTAACCACTTCTGCCTGTCAGCCTGATCACCCCCTAACCACTCCCCTGCCAGCCTGATCGATGCCTAACTGTTCCTTGCCTGGCCCAATTTCCCGCAACAGTCCTCCCCTGGTGGCCTAGTCCCACCCTCCCAACTGCCCTCTTCTGCTGGACCGGTCACCCCTAACTGCCCTTCCTGCTGGCCTGATCTCCTATAACTACCCTTCCCTGCAGGCCTGGTTCTCCCCGCCCCCCAAACTGCCCTTCCCTGGAGGCCTGGTCCCCCCAACAGTCCTCCCCTACTGGCCTAGTTCCACCCCCCAATTGTCCTACTCTGCTGGCCCAGTCACCCCTAACTGTCCTCTCTGCTGGCCTGATTGCCCCCAACTACCCTCCCTGCTGGCCTGGTCACCCCTAACTGCCCACAACTGCCCTCCCCTGAAGGCCATCTTGTAGCAGCCATCTTTGACCACATGGGGGCAGCCATCTTGAGTCTTGGAGTGACAGTCAATTTGCATATTACTTTTTTATTAGATAGGATTATTTCCCCATGGTTACAACATTGCTGTGTCTCAGTGATCACAACCTCACATTTCCTAACCATTTTATTATCCTCCAGACTTTTTGTCTGGAAGGATTGTATGCAAGAAGAAAAGAAACATTTTCCCAATAAAACATTTTTATACAGTGTAACCAGAAAGACACATCATGTTCAAAATTAGTCAGGAAGAATCATGAACTTTCCTCTTTTTTTTCCCCCCCTCAAAATGGGTTTATATAACCTCCCATTCCTTCGGTCCTAATCATTTCCCCAGTGAGCAGCCTAGAAAAAAATGAATCCCTTGCTAGGGACAGTTGCATTTAATAATCAACTGTCTTGCAAAAGTGTGTCTAGCAAGAGAGAGGGGAAGAAAATAGTCAGGCTATCAGTTCATTGGTACAAATTGCAAATCATCTGAAAAGTTGACTATAGCAAATCAACAGCAGTGAGCCATCTCCAAGAAAGGGTGGGCAGTCTGACCTGTGGGGAGTTGGTAATGTGGTCACATTCTCTGTGATGTCTTTCCCTAGCTTGCAGCCTTCAACACTAACCACAAGTTAGCTTCTGGTTAACTTGCTGATTTCAATTCAGTAACCACAATTAGTCTCTGTGTCAGAAATATGAAGCCAGACAGCAGCTCAGTTATACAAGTCCTTTCCTGTAGGCATTTGTATGATAGTCAAATATCATATTCACTCAAAATCCGTGATATTTTCGTAGTTCGTGGCCCTGTGGTGGATGTCTTAAGGAGGCAACCATTCCAGAATCGGAGTCCTGTTATTTGAAATAGGTGCGCTTTCAGCTGAGCACAGCTCACAGTGAAGCTGAAAGCAGCTGCAGAAGAGTGTCATGTTTCAGCTTTGAATCAGGCCCTGGCAATTAGAATCTGTGGATCCAGGATTTTTAAAAAGCCAATAATATTGTAATAACTGTGTACAATGCCAGGTGGGTACTTGAAATATCAGGGGGACCAGTCTGTAAACTATGCTATTGTCCAACCCAGTGGTCGGCAAATTCATTAGTCAACAGAGCCAAATATCAACAGTACAACGACTGAAATTTCTTTTGAGAGTCGAATTTTTTAATTTTTAAAAAAATATTTTATTGATTTTTTAAAGAGAGGAAGGGAGAAGAATAGAGAGCTAGAAACATTGATGAGAGAGAAACATCAATCAACTGCCTCCTGCACACCCCCTACTGGGGATGTGCCCGCAACCAAGGTACATGCTCCTTGACCAGAATCAAACCTGGGACCCCTCAGTCTGCAGGCCGATGCTCTATCCACTGAGCCAAACTGGTTAGGACACAAAACCGGTAGCTTCTACTGTCAACAACTTCATTTCAACAATTGCACATTAACTCACGAGGTTAAGACCTCCCAAAATGATGATGGGGTGATCAGGCTGGCAGGCAGGTGAGCAGTTGGGAGCCAGCAGTCCTGAATTGTGAGAGGGATGTCCAACTGGGGGACTGGGCCTAAAAGGGCAGTCGGACATTCCTTGAGGGGTTCCAGATTGGAGACAGTACAGGTTGGGGCTCTGGGACACCCCCTTCCCCCCCCATTGCATGAATTTTGTGCACCTGGCCTCTAAGTAAAAAAATAAAAATTCATGGTGGGGTCTTGTTCTTTACTCAGAGTTGAAATTGCAATCTGCCCACACGCAGCAAAAAGCAAGGGAGCTTTGATGCCTGTACACTTTTCCCGCTTTGTAGTGTTCCCTGTCAGGATGATCTATGTCTAGCACTGATGAAATGGCGAGTATAAAATTTTACATCAATTTTGATTACATTCAGGTGTGATAGTCATAAAATGCAAAGCCTTTTTCAAAACACACCACTTTCCCCTCAAACCCCTAGTCTTAAAGGCAGCACATACAGGGTTAACGTGACAGCAACTAGCAGATCAAGCTGCAGAGTGTAAGGAGGGGCTGGGCTGTCCCTGAGCTGAGGCTGCTGCTAAGCTGAGGAAAAGGCTAGAATGTTTTTTCTTTTTGTAAAATTTGTTTTAATTTTTATTAATTTCAGAGAGGGAAAGAGAGATAAAAACAATAATGATGAGAGATTGCCGAAACCGGTTTGGCTCAGTGGTGGAGCGTCGGTCTGTGGACTGAGGGGTCCCAGGTTCGATTCTGGTCAAGGGCATGTACATTGGTTGCGGGCACGTCCCCGGTGGGGGGTGTGCAGAAGGCAGCTGGTCGATATTTCTCTCTCATCGACATTTCTAGCTCTCTATCTTTCTCCCTTCCTCTCTGTAAAAATCAATAAAATATATATTTTTTTAAAAAGGAGAAAACTTAAAAAAAATAATAATGATGAGAGAGAATCATCTAGCAGCTACCTCCTGCACTGAATCACACCAGCCAGCTAGCCAGCCAGCCAATCAGGCTGGTTTTTTTTTTTTGTTTTTTTTTTAACCCTTCCCCCTCCAGTTTACCTAAAGACTTGCTCCAGCCCTGGGAACCCACCT